AGAATGTTACAGAAGATGAAACTTCTGAGGACAACAGAAAACAAGGCATAGACAGCCACTTACACACACCATTAAAGAATAAGTATGTGGCAATGTGCAAAAGAAGGATGACAAATCCCAAGTGGATGGCAGTGGGAACTATGAAGAGATTTTGCTGAAGGGTGAAAAACATGGACTGGTTATAAAGGTGCAGAGGCAAAGACACTGCAGGTAGAGAGTGTGTGGCATGTATGTGACAAAGGCCTATGATAGGAAAACCCTGGGCATATCTGGAATATCAATCTCAAGTGTTATCTAAGCATGTCTATACAGAGGAACAGCTGAAAATGAAGCCAGGGAGTGAGACAAGAGCCAGGTCATTAAAACACGAGAATGGCACTAAAGAGAGAGTACTCATAAGGATGCCTGAAGAAACCCAATCCTATGTGTGATACTGAGCTATGGGATATCCACTTGCCAATTCAGCTCCAAACACTTCTGCTTCAATGTCGCCTGTATCTGCCTTTCCATTTCTCCCTTCAAAGCACCAGCACACTTTCCTTCTCACTGCTACAATGTCAATAACCATATTCTTACAGAATATATAAGGTGCATGTGTGTTTTCAGGTTCAAAGACTGTAAACTCTGGAGCAAGAACAGCATCTTTTGAGTTAAGAACACACTGAGCTTTTAATAGTCCAAGAATAAGAATATAGAAATGCAGATTCCAGAAATAAGAAAATAGAAATAAAGAAATATAAAGTTGTAAGCCTAAGAGAATGAGAGTAGTCTATCAACAGCTTTCTCAGCAGCTTAAGGAATAACTATTAACAGTGGGTTACTCTGCTTTACAACCTATAGCTCTATCCGCGAGGCTGAAGCGGCTCTGCAAACTTAGGATCAGCCGTTAGATAGCCCCCCCCCCCCACCGGCCACTCCTGACCAGCAACTGATGCAAGCTAACTTTTAAATGATGGGTGTACATGACTTTTTGACTTTTGGTTTTATATTGCCCTGTAAACACCATCAGCAAGTATCAGAGAGAAACAATGGGCTAAATAAGAACACTAGTTTATCTGAGAAAACTCTGTTAATGGCAATTGCAAAGAAGGGCACCTCAAGATTGTAAAAATTCCTTTGTTATTGCCTAATCCTTCCTATAAAAAGGGAGAGTTCGAAAGCTGTCCTTTGCCACAACCTTACAAGTTCATCTCTGGCTGTGCTCTCTGCTAGCTGATAAGCTTTTTGTGCCCCATGGGGATTTACTTGTTTAATTTTTTTTCCTGGAATAAAGCTTGCTTCTGCTTTATTAGACTTTGGTGGTCTGTCCCAGTCTTTGGGAGACCCCCCTCCCACCCCCGCCCCGAGGACCCAAAAAATACCTTGGTGATCAAAGCATGCACCCAACACTAAGTCACTGTAAGTGAAATGTAAGAAACACAGCTTACAACCTATATATTCTTGCTGTTTTCATAGTTTAATCACTGGTACTGCCCTTGCGTCACTAAGTACTTTTGCTTTAAATCTTTTTTGGTAAACTGTCAACTAGGATTTACATTAAGATGGGTATGAAAATTACAAAACTCTCCAGCCTCTCCTCTTTCATGGGCCTGTTACTTTCTGTGTGATCCACATGACGGTATGGAGCCGATCTGACAAAGTCATGGTGGGACACACATCCAGGCCACAAGAGCCATCTCCAGCTAGAGAAATCGGTCATCTCATAACCACTCAAGTTTGAGTGCACTTAGTCCCAGACTCTGCCTCAGAATAGCCCCCAAACATAGCTTTTTGCCTCCCTGCTGAAGCAGACTCTGTGTCTGGGCATCTCTTCAGCCTCTAGTTTCCTTCCCCTTTTCTTGTCTTTAGCCTATGGACAGAATGACCTGGTTAAGATACAAATCTCTTCATATTCTAACAAGTAAAAAAAGACAAACTCTTTGGTACCTTCCGAAATGACATGGAAAAAACTTTCAAGCCCATTTTTTGTCTTCCTTACCAAGTATTTACTGACTGCTTACTGTGTGTCACAAAATATTCTAAATGTATGAGGAAAAAAATTAAACAGACATGCACCAAATCTAAAGTCAAAAAAACTAGTAAAACCCCTGTTCTCATGAGAGCTTTAGCTTTAGCCATAGGGAGAAGTTAGGGTAAAGCTAGGTAAATGTTCAGGAGTAGGGGAGATATGAAAGAAGAAATGCAACGAAGAGAACAAGCGTAGAGAATAATGGTAGGGTGGTCAAGGTGGGTCTTAATGAAAGGTGTATGTGAGTGGACACTTTAAAAAGAAGAAAGGCTGCTGGAGGCTGAAAACCACTGCACAAAGGGCCCAGGATGAGAGCAAAGAGATTGGGTAACTGATGCAAAATGGGAGGGGAGGGGGCGAAGAGACAAGGATGGAGAGAAGGCACGTAAAGTACAGTGACCACAGAGGCTTCTACTGGCCGTTACAAAGACTTGAATCTGATTCTGAGTAAGACAGGAGAAGTTGAGACATCAGGAGCAAAGGAACCTGTAGAGAACTGGCTACTGTGCCAAGGAGACAAGGGTGGAAAGCCGGACTCTGGTGGATGGCAAGCAAATGCAACAATGGAGATGAGAAAATGTGACCGCTTTTGTGGTTTGTTTAAGGCAAGCTTGCTGAAGGCAAGGCTGGAATACAGAAACAAGGATTCTGAAGATACAATCTGTAAGACTTTCTGAGACATTGGCTGTGGGGTAGAAGGTTTTTGGAACGCTGGTGATTCTGAGGTTCTTTTCATTTTTTTGTTTTTTTGTTTTTTCGAGATAAGGTTTCTCTGTAGCTCTGGAGTCTGTTCTGGAACTAGCTCTTATAAACCAGGCTGGTGTCTCAAACTCACAGAGATCCACCTGCCTCTGCCTCCCGGGTGTTGGGATTAAAGGTATGCGCCCTACTGATTCTGAGGTTCTAAGGGAAAGATCTGGAGTTGTTTCTGACATATTGGACAAATAGTAGATAATATATGAGTGTGTGCAGAGTTCATGATAGAAAGGTAGCTGTCATTTTACATAAGTCCCACATCTAGGTTTATAGACTATACAATTCTTGTGTCTTTATGTCAGGCCATCTATTCTGAAGGTTCTTCCTACCCTTATCTTTTGCTATTTAGTCAAAATAATCTCAGCTTTCAAAACTGATGTCATCTACTTTGTGACATACATGATCAGCATTTCCTGAATCACTCTGCTTCTTTCCTTCAGTCACTTAAGGCTGAAATATGAATACTTGGCCATATAGCATATTTTTAAAGCTATATAATTTTCATTTTCATTTTGGTAAAAATAAGGCAGACATTTTGCAAACACAGCAGGTGGCCCGTCTGCTCTCATCCATAGATTAAGTCCTTTAAGTAAAAATAAGGCCAGAAATGAGGTCTCAACAAGTAGTCCAAACTTAATTTTGTATTTTTCAACATTTCCAGTTATCTGAAGATCATCTTTCAAAAAGCCTTGTATTATAGTATAAACTTTATAGGCTGCAAAAAAAAGAGTCAACTATCTTCTGACAATTTTACAAAGGTAATTTTCATTTTGACTGACATTCTTTTACTTGCCCCAGGGAGGTATGCGAAGTAGGGGAATAATTAGACAAAAGAACAAAATCACATCCAGCCTTCTGCACCAGAAAAAAGCATCTAATGCAATCAAGAAAAGGGTTTACAATTATAATACAATGTAAACTTAGAGATGCTAAGTTCAACTACAGCCTCCCAGGTAAGAATGCTGGACAGCCAGGAGGCAACTTCTTTTACAGAACTTTCTCAAGATGCAGCACTGCATGGTTACAACCAGCCCGTGGGAAAGTTGCTTAGCAACAGTGTCTACCCCAGGTACGAAGGTTTCTCTGGGACCTAAAATGCACCTGGTAGATAGTACAGAATGAATGAATGGGTAGACAGATGAATGGATGGATGAGCATTCCTCATCTCATAGTGCTGAAACCTATCAAATACTAATCATGAAACTGGTATATAACATTTAAGAGTTTTGAAAAAAATTGTTGACTCAAAGTCATTGTCTTTAATAGTAATTACAAAATGTTAATTCATATTAAAGCTGGGGGGTCTGGAGCAAAAATCTCTTTTAGTAATACGCAACCTTATAAAATTCTCAAACGATCAAAAGCAAGATGATACTTTGACAGCTATACTTGCTTCTTCAGACAGTAGTCTGATACACATCCATTGAAGGAAAATTAAAGCCTTTGAAAATAAAACAGTAGTACAAAGACCTTTGAAACATCACATTAGAGAATCAAGATTCATGGGTGGGGAGGATGGCTTCCTTGGAAAAGCATCTGCCAAGTATGAGGACTTGAGTTTGCTCTCTAGAACCCAAGTAGTGCTGGGAGTGGGAATGGGGAAATAAACCCCCAGATACCCGGTTAAAGCAGCAAGCTCCATGGCAAGTAAGAGCATGTCACAAAACCTTGATTTGGTTTGGTCTGTAAAACCAATCCAAATCAAGTCATCTCCAACAACAACAACAAAAATAGACAAATGAAGGTACCCAAGAACACTATTCAAGGATGACCTTTGACCCACATAACACTCATATAAACAAATGTCCACACACATGTATGAGTGCATGGACTCGAGCTTACAAATTAAGTACAAGTAGGAAAAAATATCTTAAAAGTTTGCTTTCAGAATGCATTAGTACACTAGGTTAAGGTAGTTTCAACAGCCAGGTCCTGACGGTTCTCTACACTCTTGCTACTTGCTTCTTTGTTGTTTTTGAGACAGGGTCTCACTGTGTAGACCTGGATGGCCTGGAACTCACTATGTAGACCAGCTAGCCTCACTCACAGAGATCTGTTGGGATTAAAAGTGTGTACCATCACACCAAATTTACTACTTGGTTTCGAACTTGAAGAGCTAGAAGCAAACATTACAAACAGAACCATGGTTTGCGTGCAGACAATAAGCAATCTAATGTAAGTATCTTAAGCTCCAAGAAAAATATCAAGAATCAGTTTAAAGTTAGACAACACCAACCTCTTTAATCTCATGTAGTTTTCACTGGCAGCAGGTCGGCATTCCGCTCTTTGTACCACTATTCCTTCCAATGACAGTTTATCTTGAATGGAAAGGGAAAACTGTATTCAGAGACAGCATTCATCATTTCCAAGATGGCATTTTGACACATAACTAAAACATGATTCACAGAATCCAAGGAAACAAAAGGACAGTATTAAGTTGATAGCAACATCACTTATCAGAACTGGAGACTTTCTGGCTTGTTTCTTGAGCTGCACTGCCCCTTGTCAACAGCAGCTTTAAAAACACACTCAGACTAAACCAGCCCAAAGGGCATACAATCAAGTAAAAAGGTGGATTCCATCTGTAACATAAGCAACTTCTGAAAATACAGTAAGTCTCAAGCACTAAATCAAAGATCCATATATAAACATGAATGAGGTTCTAGAACACCCTGTAGGGAGAACAGTGAGCTAAGAAAACACTGTGAAATTCAGCAACTCATTATCTGGTCATACTATGTACTCTGAATCACAAATGATAAAGAGTGCGTCAACCTGAATCTGTAAACTGAGGAAGATACATATCTGCGGTCATAAAACTGGAGAGGAAGATAAGGACGAATACACATTTAGGGTCAGTCTGGGCTACACAACAAGACTATTATAAGTAAACAGTGAATCTACTATGAATATTTGTCTAAACAGAAATGCGATTCTCTTTCTTATAGTGTCCCTGACTTAACACCCAGAGGAACAGAAAGAGCAAATAAACCTGGGCCTTGCAAGCTCACTGGCATCAGGCACTGTGGCTGAGTGCAGTTGACAGGCGCGCCTCTCACAGACAGCGGCTTTATGACGACTGGAAATCTAAGACTATGGTTAGGAACAGCTCCTGATCAGTCATTTCCATGAGAATTCACCTGACCTCTGAGCAGAGAGTAAGAAAATCCTCTGACTAAGCAAAAATGCACTGATTCGTCTCTTAAGGATGACTTACTCCATTCATTCCACTAATGTAAATGACTACCGTGTAAAGGCAGCAGGTAGAATCAAAGGTGATTACAGTACAGCACTGTCTTCAAGCAGCACACGTCAGCTATACGGACAGTGAGTGACACGCCGTGTATGTGTGGGCAGACTCACATAGAACCCCATTTATACAAATTTATTTATACTATTTATACTAGAAAATCTTCTAGTGACTTTCTTAGATTTTTGTCTCCAAAATTCAAGGAGTTATATCCTGGAGTCCTAAATACTAATTATGAAACACATCATTTGAATTAAATATTCCCAGAATACCTCAATACAAAAAAATCTTCAGCAGAGGCTAAGAGGCGCCTAGAAAGCAAAATGACAAGACCCACACTGACATCACACTACAGTGTGCAAGGAAAGGAATACTATACAATCCATAATTCTTTACATTTTAAAACTGAAGTCCCTGTTGCAAGGGAAGTTAGTAAGATTAAACTTTAAATTTTCTCAAAGTAAACACAAATCTTATATCCCAGCTGATCTCTTGGATGAAACTGAGAGTTCAAAACAAGAATGTGTTCCAGTCTCATAGTAATAAAATCTGGAAAATTCTGATGTATTTGTATCCTAAGTATATGACGGAAAGTCCAACACTGCACAGTAAAAGATACTTTTTCTTAAACAAAGTAAGCCTAGGTGAGACTCCTGATATATCACATATCAACCACATATCAAGTACTTACTAACACTGAATGCTTAAAAAAAAAAAGAGGCTACCTTTACCACCATTTGTTAATGCTCCCCACCTATTTAGCACTACCTACTTCAAAAGGATACACTGCATTTAATTCTTAAAGGGTGGTAACAAGTTCAAGCTCCCTGCTTTTAACTTGACCAATACTTTCAATTCTTCGGTCAAGGTTACTCAGGCAGAACAGTAACAATCACTCCCCTAGACTGTACTTCTCTTCTTACCACACCATCCTTTCACACCTAAAACTGTTCTCGAATGCTTCTCAAATTAAAGGGAAAGCCTTAATAATAATAATGAATTTTCCCATCAACTGGCTGGTGTTAGTGAGTGTTCTGCTTCACTTATTCCCTCTCTTAAATTTAAACGACCAATTTACTTTGGGTATGCCTCCCCTCTCCTCAAGCATGATTTGCCCGCTCCTTGTTTATAGCTAACATACTTCTCAAAGTCTCATGGGAACGTGCTCTTGTATTTCCCCCCAATGAACCATGCATCTTTTCTTACATTACTTATAGTTCAAGGGAAAGAAATGAAACATGAAATCCTAGCTTATAGCACTCACATGCACGCCATTGCTGGCGATTCCAGAGGCCTCAGATCCTCTAGGGCAGGAGCTACAGGTGGTTGTGAGCCTCCTGACATTGATAGTGGGAACAGAACGATGGTCTTCTGGCGGAGTTAACTAGAAAACTGTGTATATATATGTATATGAAACACGTGTGCAAGTGCCCAGACAGGCCAGGGAGGTTGGACAGGGTATTTAATGCCTGCAAACTGGAGTTCTGGGTGGTCATGAGAACTAGATATGGTGCTGAGATATGAACCTGAGTCCTCTGAAAGAGCATCAGTGCTCTGTCCTGCCAGGCCAGCGCTCCAGGCCCTGATGTGACTTAAAGCACTGGAAACAAGACATTTTTGGACAATGTTTGGGAAAAGAGCCGAACTCACATGACTCTCCCCATATTCAGGTCTAGTAGGATGGGAAAAAGTTACACAAGCAAATTCAATATAATGGAAGCACTGGACATACCTCTTTAATTTATTTCCAGATTTACACAGGCGCTCATTTACCCACTATTAAATACAGTGACAGATGCCTACAGCACGCTGTACACACTAGTGGGTAGTAGGTTAATCTCAAGCACTCCCACATACTTCTGTTCAAACTTGTTGATGCTAGTTTAAGTAATTATATAATTTGATTATGGATCAGATAAGCTTATTAAGTTAAGAGAAGGGGTGTGGCACATGGGGTTATTTCTATGTAAGTCTTATGTCAAAGACTTGCGAATGTAAACTGCTTTTAAAACACACTTTAAAATTTGTTGTGAATCTGGAGACAGAAGATAAGCGTATATCTACACGGATTTGATTAATGTTACTGCAGTTCTTTGTGATTGAAGAAATGAAAACTGATTACAGGTTTAGCTTCCACAAGAAGGAGAAAGCAGATGATCAAATGACACCTACCTTATACTCAAAGCAAAGCTTTATCTTACATTATTAATAAGCAGCTAGACATTTAAAAGTCCTAAGATGAACCACAGGAATACATATGTATCACATTTGTTTGTTTGCAGACCCTGAAACTTGCTAATGAAATAATTTCCTACCATCTAATGAACTAAACATGGTCCTTCTCCATCACCCATGGGATTCTACTGTACCAAGACTACAAGTGCTACACCAGCTGGCACACAGACACACACAGAGTTAAACCCAGAGAGAAGTTATGTCCAACTGGGGGTCAATAAGAGCTTCGCTAGAAACCCTGACAACCGGGAAGATTTAGGAAAGGCAGGAGTGGGGATGATAAGGGAACTGAATGAAGGTGTCTGGAACAGCCCAGACACTCTCTTGTACTGGGAATTTTCAGCTCAGGAACTCCAACCACCAAGACCTAAGACCATATGGTTATGACTGCAATCTGCAAAGAGGACACACAAGCTCATTCTACTGAGAGTCTTTAGACACTCAGTTCCTCCCTTCCCTTTGTTAGGTCTGGGCATTTGTTCAACTTTTCTGTGGTTGATGGGAGTAAAGCACTTAACTGGTGTGGTGGTGCACACCTTTAATCCCGAACTCAGGGGGGCAGAAGTAAGTGGAGATATGAGTTCAAGACCAGCCTGGTCTACAAAGTGAGTTCAAGAACAGCCAGGGTGGTTTACACAGAGAAATCCTGTCTCAAAACTTAGATCTTTTCTACCCTACCCAATCCTTGGTCAGATTGCTTTACTCATTTTTGTTCTTGTTTTATAGTCAAAAAAAAAAAAAACTCTAAGAAGTATAATGGGAGCAGAGAGAAAAAAATAAACAGTAAATAAACAAAACATACCCTAAATACAGATTTGTAGGCTCCCAGTGCCATTTTGAAGAGAGGAAAGGAAGTGAATAATAGTTAAAGTCACCTCGAGCTTCAGCAAGTTAGATTAGTAAGTAAGCAGGAAGGGTTTGTGCTAGCACTGGCACGTGAGCAATGAGATCACCTAGGTCAGGAAGTCCTCAGGCATCCAGAAGTTAGCTATTCATTTCCACAAACAAGACTACTCAGGATCCATCTGCATGTGGACATCCTTGAGAACACTTCCAACTCCAGCTACACAGACCAGTAGTGAGTTACTAAGACTTCAAGCTGATCTTCTAGACTTGTGAAGTGACTCTCACCAATCACTGCTGTGCCTGCCATCTTTGAAGAGAACAGAAGTACTTCTACCAATCCTGCTCATCCAAAAGGTAAATGATTTTTAATATTCCCAGTAGTCTCCTTTCTCCTCATCTGGTACAGTTTCTCAGCAATTTCCCCCCTGGAGATATCTGAATGTGACTACTTGGCACCTTAACAAATCAGTTAAGTGAATTCAGTATTCCCTTTTTATTAAAAGGTGAAAGGTAATTATCATTAATTTGTGAGTTGGTATTTTGATCTTACTTGACCTTCAGAATTTGAGATGATACATGCTTTCTTATAATACCATTCAAATCATGTTTTGAGAATTCCCAATTTAAAATAAAAATCTAAAACTGTAACTGAGAACTAGGCTCAGGGTCTAGAGAAGAACTCACTTCCTCAGTCCTATGTACTGCTCTTTTACTTCAAGGACGGGAAGAAAAAGGGGTAGGAGACACAGGCATGCACACAGACGCTGGGACCCTGCCTAAAAGCACCTGCTGGTGACAAGCTGGTGTCTAGCAGCAGAAAGGAAAGTGGCTGGTTAAGGGTATGAAAGACGATATCAAATGTGTGAAGAAATTTGGACAATCCTGTCATTCTGTAGACACTAAACGGATCTTTTTTTTTTTTTGTCAAAGAATAACAGTGCACCAATGTTGTAAAGCTCCCACATTTGTAGTATTTTCACTTCTTCT